CCCTTCGAGGCCTACCCGGCAGGGGCGGCGGCAGCAGTGGTGGGGATGTTGGTGGCCACCGCAGCATCGCTTCTGGCCGTGCACTACGTTGCCCGTCACCAAGACACCCTCCCACGTGAGTGCCAGGGGGTGTGTGTGTGTGTGTGTGACATGGCAGGGACCATGGCAGGACCCCAGCCACCCCACAGCCATCTGTCTGTCCCCAGGGCTGCACAACCTGCTCTTCCGCACGTGAGTGCCCAAACACCCCTCGCCCCTTCGCTCCCACACCCCTGCCTGTCCCCCCTCAGGGCCGGTCCCGGCACCCAGGAGCCTGCGGGCACACCAGAGGATGCCGAAATAGCCGCAAGCAGGGAGGATGGAGCCGCACCGGGAGATGCACCTGCCCCCAGCACAGCAGCAGGTAACAGCACCCATGGGGTGAGCCAAGAGCTGAGCCACCCACCCCAGTGACCCAGCACCCACCTGGTCTCACCAGGGGCTCTCCCACCCCTTTTGCAGAGCCACTCTCGGCATCACCGGACGCCACCGACGACCCGTCGGTTAACGTCACCATCACCATGACGGCGACACCGTGATCAGGCCTTTATTTCCCTTTCCTCCCCGTGTTTAACACCACGGGACAGCGGTGCCTGCCTGCGCCGCGATCCCGCTCCTCCCTTCGCATTAATAAAGCCAGGAAGGGCGAACGCATCTCCCAAAACTTGGCAGCTGGGAAAACAGCCACGATCCAGCCCCGGTACAAAAATCTGGGGTTGGTGGCAAAGAGGTTTTGCTTCTTTACGATATTTTACAAAGTGTTTTGGGGGAGATGTAGGATTTTTGCTGGGGTTTTACCTGGTTTTAGGCACTGGGGAGAGGTCAGCTGGTTATAAAAAGCAGCACAGTCCGAGCATGGGGATAAGCCTGCCAGCACCTGGCAAAAGCCTCGAGACTTCAGTTACTTCTGAAGCTAAAATAAATATTTAGGCTAAAACAAGGGGTCCTCCCCTTCACTCTAAACTCCCCATTTTCAGGCCAAACCGCAGGATGTTAAAAACAGCGATTAGTGATTGTTTTTTCCCCCACATTGGTGCAAGCAGAGAGGGAGGCAGGCAGGCTCTAAGGAAAGGGTGAAGCGGTCCCTGGTTTTCTTTGGCCCTCATCTTCTGGGGTGTGTGGATAAAATGAGAGCATCTCTGGGCCCTTTTCTCCTGAATTTGGTTAGAAACTGCTGGGAAGTCTCAAGCGACGAGAACCAACCTCTCACTTCAGTGCCCCTGGAGTATCACTCCCCGACTCCTGCCCTAAAGCAGCATCACTATCTTTATCAAACCACCCCCACCCCCAAAAAAAAAAACAAACACCTCTACCCCAAACCCCTGCAAAAACTACATTCATTTCAAAAGGCATAAAGTTTTCAAAAGCATATTACAGCTTCTTAGGAAAATATAGCAGTTTTATATGACACGACGACGATAAAGGGGAGCGTGTGGAGGGTCTGATTTAAGCAAGGTCATTATTTATAAATGTGGTTAAATCTCAGTGTTTGGGGAAAATAAAGCAGTCAGAAGTAAAACCCAACCACTCGCCTGCCAATCTCCGTCAGAAAGTGAGGAAAGCCTTGCAGTCGGTCTTGCGAAGAAGACCACATCCAGCCAGGGTGAAGCCACGGCTGCGAGGAAGAGAAAGAGAGAAGGCCGGGTTTAGGAGAGGAGGAGATAAATGATGAAGGAAGAGCAGGGCTTTGCAGCGGCTCTGGGGTAGGTGGCAGTCGAAGCCCGCAGGTTTCGTGGTGTCAAGTCCAGGGTGCTGGCAGGGAGCTTCAGAATTAGGCAGCTCTGGCTAGGAGGCCACACAACCCTAAAAACAAAGACCCCCCAAAAAAGAATATATAAATAATACAATAAAAGGAAAAAATCCCCCACACCAACCCACCCCAACACTTAAAACAGCCTACAGAGAGATGCTGCTACCAAAGCAGATCGCAAGAGCTTCTTCCTCGAACAGAAATCATTCCCCAAAACCTGGACTCGTTGCACCTGTACCGCCTTTGCTCCCTCCCCGAGGGGTTTGCAGCAGTTCCAGCCAGGCCGGCATCGCTTCCTCCCTTCCCAGCCCCGCCGTCGGCTTTGGCTAGAAAAATACTCTCGCCGTGAAAAGGCGGCTGCACATGTGTTGCCTTGGGGCAGCCGTAATTGTAATTTATGCGCCTCATTTCTGGGGTTATGAGCTCTTGATTTTTTTTTATTTTTTTTTTTTTAGGGGGAGGGAGTGCTTTACAAGCACCGGTTTGTTTTATTTACTCTGATTAAATTTGGAAAGGAGGGGAGGAAGAAAAAAGCCAAACCCTGTAGTGAATGTTGCAACACCTACATCATGCTGTTTCGGAGGGGCAGGTAGGTTTCTTATGGCCGGTGGGGGAAGGTAGGTTTCTTATGGCCAGTGGGAGCTGCTTCCACACGACTTGTTTCATTTCAGAGGCTGTTCAAGCTGTTAGCATTCCCTCAAATCAAGGAGTTAAAAGTACGGTTGAACTGGATTTTGTCCAGTGGGAAGGTGAAACAGGCTGGATTTTCATCTGCGCTTCTGCAAACATAAGGGTTATCAAACACCTAAAGACACAAACAGTCACCAAACTGAGCTCTGCTTCTCAAGCCACGCTGTACCGACTCCGTCGAGGTTCTTTTTTCTCATTTATTTTCTTATTTACCCACTGGGTTCTTCCCAGAGAAGCCAAAAGAGGATGGGAGGCGTTCATGGAAAAGGGGGTTTGAGTACGGCAATGCCAAGCTGCCAGGGAGGTGGCAGTAATCTGTCACAACCATCAGACCCGCTTTGCTAAATCCCTGTTATCACGACTCCTCGGAAGCGCTTCTCGCACTGGTAATACACCATGGAAAACACACTCTGCATTTCCCATCGTTGTTCTTTATATTATTACAATTCTTTTTTTATACACATAACCAGGCTAGTTTTGCGGTGCGTGGGGGGAAGGGAAAAAAAAAGGAATTTCAAGGCATAAATAATATAAAAAAGCAACAATTTTTAAAAACAAGATACATTCATATGACACTACTACAAAAAAATAAATAGTGACTCTCTCTGTTATAATTAACATCCCTCCATCACTCCTTTTCAGCGACTCTGCTGTGCAGTTACTGGCGTTAAGTGGGGACAACGGTCGCTTCCTCAGGTTTCCTGGAGCTGGAGCTGCCGAAGGTCCCCAGAACCGTTTAAGGTGACTCCGGATGAACTCCATCCTGGTTTTTCCTTACAGTCTTTCGAAACAGGTTGCAGAATAAGGGGACTCCAGCTCAAAACGTGGTTCGATGTTTCCGAGTGCACACAGTTGTCACCTGCAAAGCAAGAGCAGGGCGGGTTGGTTGGTTGGTGATTTTTTTATTTTTTTTTTTTTTTTTTAAAAATAGGTAGATCAACTCTTTTGGCTCAACGGACCCACAAACCCAAAAAATTCAGATTAATAAAAGCGGATGATGCACTTTGAGCTCCAGCTCATTCCCATCATACCAGGCACAAACAGCTCAGAGCATCGGCTCTAACCAAGCACGCTGACAGCACCGATATCGAATAGGTCACGCCGATTAGGGCAGCCCAACTCCCACCTACATTTCTGTGCCTTTTCATGCCTACGGGACGGTTCCAGGCCGTCACGGATGCCTGTTCATTAGGGGAAAAACTCCATTAGGTAGAATTTCAGTGGTTTTAGGAGATCACGGGTATGCTGTAGGCGCAGGCAACTGCGAGCCAGCATAAATCAGTCACAGCCTCGTTATCTGGAGCGCGCCTGCTCGATGAGCTCCATTTAGAGGCATCAATCACAAAGGGCATGACAGCCACAGGCACCTGAGCATCGCTGCTCTTATTTGCCATGATGGGAAAGGCGGAACGCTTAAATCTTTCTCAAAAAGCCAGGTCTTTTGTGGGCTTAATTACTAGCTTCTCCGCAATAAATTAAGCGCCCGACAGCCATCCTACAGAATATTCCCAACTTCAAAGCCGGGCACGATCCTTTCCAGAACGCCTTACCGTTCGCCGTGTAATCCACGGAGAGCCGATTGATGCCTTCTCGACAGCAGGGATGTTGGGCAGAGGGTTGTTCCGTTTTCTCCTTGCCGTCCTCCTCCAGCCGGGCGCTGCACTCCGGGACGGTGGAGGCCAAGCACATGGCTACCATGACGTGGTGATTCAGAGGTTTCATCTCCAAACCGTCCTGCTGATAAGGTGCTACGATGGGCACGACGGGTAGCGTGTTGCTGCCGAAAGTGCCGTTGGTTTTGGTGAAACACCTGCAGAAGGGACATAAGCCAAAGCGGGGTTACCCAGAGCTGCTTCTTTCCACCACTTCCCTTGAGCAACTGCAATTTTTAAGTACTTTACCGCCTGTCATTCGCTATCACAACAGTCAGAGCTTGCCAAATCGGTTTTAAATATATTTTTGGATCAATCCTGACATTAAGAAAAGGATCGAGTGAGGTTTTTTTTCCTCCTCCCAACAGACAGCTGAAAACATTCAAAACATGTGCTCGGTTACTTCCCCCATCGATTGTGACCTGACAACCCGACTTGCGAGCGCATTTCTCCATCAAGGCAGCCCCATAAAACACGTTTTCACTGCCAAGAAAAAGAGCTCAAGTTTGAAACCCAAACAGCAAACTTGAGTACCTTGGAAAAAAATACTAAGCGTTATCAGAGTGAACGCAAATCAGAAAAATATATGTAATGTTATAAATATAAACCCTCTCTCTGCTGTGTAACTCAGCTTGTGGCCTATAATACGTGCGTAAGGCTGTGAAATTGAAGTTAAACTGCTAAATCAATTGTTACAGCTGAGCTATTTAACCTTTAAACAAAAAGGACCTGGACCTTAAGAGACATGCATACCATTGCAGCAAGCAGGGAAAATGCCTACAGCGTTTGGAGCCTCGTGAACAACGTGGCCTCAGCGAACATTTATATAAGCAATTCCTACGTAAGAAAGCTCCCCCTCAAAAAACTGCACTTCAGTGTGGTTTTATACAAAACCATAATTACCGCAGAAGTAAAAGGTTCACTTGTAGAGCTGCCAGAAACTTTGGGAAACTACCCCCCAAAAACGGTCCTTATTTTGCGGCACAGAACAGAGATGGATCCGCAGATAAAAGCAAAGCATTGAAATAAGGATAGAAAGTGCTCAAACCCACCGTGAGCCACTGATAACTCTGAAACGCTCCCACAAGGGCTAAACAGGCTTCATGTTTTTTTGTTTGGGTTTGTTTGTTTGTTTTTTCCCCCCTGTCAAATTTAAATATATCCATCGCCTGTTCTGCTCACGGCAACAAGCCTAATGCATCTTGCTATAGGTAGCTGGTTATGACTGGGATGCTACCTACGTGCTGGCATTCTGAAATATAAAAATCGATACCTGGGATCTGGCTGTTCAGGTCCTAGCTTATCTGGTAGCATGGCTTGTTTCTTTAGAGTGATTCTGGCCCAAAAGTGAGCAGAGCTGATCGTTATATTGCTGGAAGAGGAGGAGTAGAAGATGGACTTTGACATCATCAGTGACAGCGTATCAGCCATCAGAGCCTACTTTGATAGCAGCTGAGCCCTCAGCACCAAAGGACTCAACTCAGATGGATTTAAAACCAGAAGAGATTAAACTTGGCAATCACAGTAAGGTCCTGCCTAAGTCTCAGAAACCACTTTTATCCCGTTAAAAAGGTCACGGCAATGCGTAAAAACATCATGCTCGAGGGACTTATCCTACAAACTCACTTGGAGCCTCAGTTTATACTTTTGTCTGAAAACCGTGATCAATATTGCTGGAAATGAAAAAGCAATAAAACACCCGCAAATAACGCAAATAAATTTTCTAGAGGAGGAACTGCAGCAAGATTCCCCTCCGGCAGGTGTTTCACTTGCCAAGACAAAACACGGGACAAGAGAGGATCCCTCCAGCAGCAGCAGTATCGCCCCAGGAGCCCGCTCCCCTCCCAAATGCCATGAGGACAGAACAGCGTCAGGCTTCATTTTCAACCTTCCCTCTCCTATTTTGTCCTTCCGCTCCCATAACTGCCTCCCAAATCATTATTCCAAGTACCAAAATACCACAGAAGCCACTGAAGAATCCACATAAAACACATCTGGTCTTCAAACAAATCCATTTATTAGTTTGCATTTCTTTCCGCAGAGGTTTTGACTGTACTCACTTATTATTTAAAAAAAAAAATCTTAGAGGAATCCATTTTAAATGTTTGGTTTTGCATGTTTATGGGGGTTTCTTTTTAAAGATACAGAGGTTGGTGTAGTTCTTTGTATTATTCTATGGGCTTGAAGGAGATTTCAAGACAGCAGTTCAGCCTTTTAAGCTTAAATAACCACTTTTTGATGGAAACTAGCCATTGATATATCCAAAGCAGAGCGTGCGGGAATAGCTATGTAAAATCCCTGCCGCAGAAAACACATTTTCTATCAATTCTCAGTGCTAGAATCCTACCGAACTATAACTTAAAAGCCCACACCAGCATAATTTAGATTTTAAAAGTTGGAAAAACAGACCGATACCACTTTATTGGAAATGTGCATTTCAGATTTCTGATTGCAATACCCTGAACTTGCCAAGAAAAGAGATCTACACAAATGTAAATTCCTCTCTGACCATCAGGTATCTAGAACGTTTTAGTGCAAAAGCACCAGAGAAAAAAAAAATAGAATAAAAATCAGTTCTCAATCCTAATATAACAAGTGTAAACCACACTCGTCTTACCAGCTTTATCCACAATAGCAAAGCGGGTATCCCACGTTTCAGCAACTTCTACACCTCTGGCAAGCCTCCACGAGCAGTTACGAGAGCATGAAGTGCTAATTTAAACAGAAGACCGAGGGATTTCACCACTGTAATAATAAAACCTGCTCGAGATGGCTATTGCTGAAAACAGCCATGGTAGCCAGCTATTAAGTACGCTAAACCTTCAGGATTCATTTGCACGTGGTCACAATTCAAACAACTGCTAAATTCAACCCAAATCAGCAACAACTCGAGGTATAAGCTGGAAATAGGCGTCTTTAGGAATTAGCAGCACCGAGGTGGAACATATGAGCAGCCAAAATGCTCATGAGGTAGAGCCCATCATCCTGCTAGAGGTGTTTCCACTTGAACCTACCTTCCTCTGTTATCATGCAGATGTTTTGCAAAGAGAATCGCCTGGTTTTAGTACACAAGGTGCATTAATTTGAGGGTGGGAGAAGAGACAGGTCCTCTTTACACAAACAGGAGACCAGGCAGAGTGGACAGCCCTTACCTGCATAAGGTAGCTACGAAGTTGAACAAAGACGGGGGAAAAGACTCCAGCCTCAAATTCCCACTTGCCAAAATCTATCGACTTGACTGCACTAACCCATCAGATCTTTCTCCTCCTCCTCGCCCCGGTCATATATCCAGCTCCCTGGCCCCTGGTGTAATGCTCAGGCACGTTTCTCGTCCTCCCTGTTCCCCTCTCCCATGTCCTCCTTCCATTCCCCCAGCATCAGAAAGGGAACGGAGCGGTCCCGGCTGTGCAGCTCTCCTGCCAAAGGGAGGTTAACGATCCCCTCTGGGGTAAGGCAGCTGTAAAGGACAACTTGTTTCACTATCAAGCAGTCAAATATAGAACAGGGATGTGAAAATTCAAAGTTCAGACCCTGCTGATGACCCATCTGGGAGGAACAGTACAGTTGCAGAGGACAGAATCCATTCTCCCTGCTTTCTTCAGCAAAAAAGAGCAATTAAAAAATTAAATACGCTTAAAACTGGAAAGCAAGCTCTTAATTACGCCATAACGCATACAGCATGTTCCAAATTACGGCCAATCGTACACATCTTGATGACTGCTGTTAAACGGCCTGCCCTGAAAACAGACAATTGGCTTGTAAGGAAACGGTAGCTCGCTTTCCCCAGAGACTGGCCACAACACCGGTCCAGACAGAAGCGTGCCCAGCTCTACCTGCGAGTCTCCATCACACGTACATTTATGGAAGGATTTATTTATTTCAAGCCTATTCTAAGTTATCTTTTCAAAAATAAAACCATGAAAATACAGTGAACGTGTTTTCTGCCTTCAACACCTTAATTTCAGCTCCTCCAGATGTACACCGAAAGGCAGCTGATGATTTTAGTAAGATGGAAAATTCAAAGTATGATTGAAAAAAACAATCCAGAATTTACCAGTCAGAGTAGTCCAGCACATCTGACTTTCAGTTCAATTTTTAGTCATTAAAATAACCAGATATTTAGTCCAAAGCCTGGAAGGATATTCTTTAAAACTTTCAAAAGTGAAATACCTAATAAAAATCCAGACTCCCAGCTACAATGTAGAAGACAGATTTTCCCTTGTTCTATACAAGAATCCTTTTTCACACACACACACAAAACCCAAATGTATCCCACACTGATGATGGCTGGCCAAACTACTCCTGAAGGCCTGAAGAACCTCAAATCCCATGTTTTATAAAGAATAGCGTTGTGAAAGCAAAGCTGCGAGACTAGGTCGCTGGTGTTCTTAAGAGAATGGCAGGAAATGTAAAATACAGAAGACCAATTAAATCCTATTTGACACACTCCATATGGAAGGATTTTGTTATCTCAAAACTGAAGAAAACACAGGAAATAAGGCTTAAAAAAAATAAAATCCAGTGCCCAACCTGCCTCACTTCCTAGAGAGCATCAGAGCACTGAGCGAAATGAGCTCCGGGGGTTTAACAGACTGGTTTTATTCCATCCCACAGACAATCACCAACTGCTCTCCAAGTCATACATTGACATCGCGCTCCTCCGTATCCTCAGCCAGGACCCAAGCTCTCTGCTTTTGTTTGCCCCACCTTTACGGCAGCGCACAGAGCGAGGGTTTCTGTTCCCAAAGGTCCTGCCTTCAGGCAAATTTTACATCACCTGTTATTGTTCCGACAATTTCGGCAACTGATGCACTCTGAGGGGTCGGCCTGCGGCACTGCTGTGTACATCCCACCGCCCTGCAGCAGGGAAGATTAATTAAAAATAAACCCAAACAACAGAAATTAATCACTATTTGAACATACAAGAGACAGCATCACTGAGGGGGCAGTTCAGCTCAAGCTAGCACCCCAGGCTCTTTCACTTCATTTTCAAACTCTAATCATTTATCAATCTTCAGATCCGTGCCCCGTAACGTGGCATGGCAACACTGAGCTATTATACAAAGTCAAGTGGAGGGGTTTTTGCCAGCATGTGTGTCAGAGAAAAGTAAATAACTGCAGCTTAGACAAGTATGTGGTAATTTCCCTGGTCTGTTTTCAGCTTAATATGCTCAGGTTTAATTTAATAAACACACTGTAAATATGTTTATTTTTAACACTGATGACAGACACGAAAGCAAATTGCTGTTCATTAGCAAACTGTGCCCGTTTGGGGAGACAGAGTATTAAATTTACAGGGCTGATGTCACAACATAAACCCATCCCACTTTCCTGTAATTACTCTGATTAGATCAGTTTACCTCGCTACACTGATTTTTGAAACATTTAATATTTTTACAGATGGGGTAATTCCTTAGCCAGCAATGACTCTGGGTGAGAGGGATTTTGTGTTGTTGGTTTTGGCTGAAGGGGCCATTACAAGCAAGTAAAAATGCCCAGATTAACACATACCTCATTGTTAAAGACTGGGCGGACACCGATGCGGGAGCTGCTCGAAAATGGCACTGCAGAGCTGGGCTACCACGCTGCGTTTCAGGAGGGGAACCAGTTTGGGAAAGCTCACCTGGCTTTTGAGATTTCAAGTGGTAAGTCACTTCTAACAATCCCTATTTCTGCAAAACCAGAGCTTATTCTTAAAAGTTTTTGAGGCTGCTCCAGTGCAATAGGGAGCGCTGAGGAAATGCCTAATTAGTCTTGATTGCCATCCTGGCCAGTTTCTCTCTTCCTCATTTAGGCTAATCAATGAAACAATAATGAGAGTCCTAACGAGGATGAGAACATCCTGTTCCTCTGCGCCGCCCCACCCGTGTGCCAGTCCCGGTCCTACATGGGAAGAGAGTGCGTGATTCAAACTTTATATGACATGGAGGGGGGAAAAGAAAAACTCAACCCAGTCAACTATTCGCAACGAGACAGCGGCGTTGCACGTCTCATCTCATGGCACAGAGGAGCTACAAGCACCAAGACCTGTGTTACCACATGTGTATTTCCTCCCTTCCCAAAAATAAAGAATAAAAATAGGAGGGATAAAACTGCTGCGCAAGCCCCCAAGCTTTCTCATGGGCGAGCTTTCAAGCACTGCAACCTCTTCCCTTCCTCAGGGCTTGTACAATGGAGACACTTGGAGAGTTTCACCCACTGGGAGGTCGGACAGGTCCAAAAAACGCGGTTTGGGGCTCGGTTGTCCTTGAAAGGAACCAAAAAGCAGCGCTTCTTGGTACATGAGCAGACCAAAGACAGAACCGGGTGAAGAATCAACTGGTCTGGACTCAAAGCTGGAGTTATCTGAAGTGGCAACTACTGTGCAAGTGCTAATTTGTTGTTCAATAAAACGAAGTGCTTGTGTTCAATTACTAACACAAACAATAGCCCCATTTTTTTCCTCCAGAAACAGCATGGGTTATTCAGACTTTTGAACTTTTTCTTTCAGTTTTCCTGGGCAATGTTCACAGTTTTGAGTAAGTTTAGTGAGTTTGAATGCAAGCCATCTGTTTCCATAGACAATAATGAAATCATTATTCTCTCTTGGAAACAGGACACATTGCAGCAAACGAAGTATTTTTCCACAGCATACAAAGGCTGGATCACAGACTTGAATTAGTTTTTTAATTTTATTTTAAAATTTCAAACCAAAAAATGAGCCTGTCTCAACAGTCACAAACAGGGGACTGAGGGGGGAAAAAAACAAACCCAAACCCAAAGAATACAGTTGCTGCATTTCAAGATGTATGGGGCATTTTATTTTATGGAACCTCCTGCCACATTCGTGCTTTGCCATAATTAATAGCATTGCTTAGAGTTACAGATCTGAAACAGGTGGGGGAAAAACGGGTGATCCATAAAGCTGCAGAATAAGCAGCTATAATTAAATCTATTTAACTTGAAGATTGAGAAATACCATATGTACAAGTAAAGTATCTCAGCCCAGTACTGAAGCATTCTCAGAGCTTACATGCTGTTAAGGAGTAGGGTAGAGGCAGATTTCCCAGAGTAAGTGGAATTCTTGCTGTCATCTGATATTCTCAAATGAAAACCATGATGTTTGTATCAGAAATATCAGCCCAGTTGCTTCCTCTGGGATAAGTAATTTAGTGGAACTGGCTGTTATCAATGGAGGAGTATTTCCCCCACCCGAATTAAGCCTGGTTCTGCACCTCTGAATAAATCCCAAGGTCTAGGCTGAGCCTTCCACCCGGCGTAAGAGCTTACGTTCACAAGATGGTGGGGATGTTCATAGTCCATGTGTGTCCTGGACAGGGAGTTGGTGTGCCCTGGGTACAGTCCAGTTCCTCCGTTCATGATCCCATTAACTCCATTAGCAACTTTATGATGGACATGCGGACAGCCATTGCCGAGGCCGCCGTTGCTTATGAAGTTTCCATGGATGCTGCCGTTGACTCGGCTTGTGCCGGGTAAGGTTGTGTACTCAATCATTTGCCCGTTGATATCCGTCCCTTGATAGAGATAGCCAGGAGGGTCATATTCTGCAAAAGACGTTATTATCGAAAACTTATTTATTGCCACATGAGAAGTTAAACAGTGTCTCTAAGAAACAAAAATAAACTTATTTTCTCTTTCTACAGTTTTTGTAAATGAACTGTAATATCTAAGTGCATAGCGTGCAAATGTAAAAGTGGAAAACAGCCACATCCTGGAGAACGGACCAGGAACGTTGGTCACAAAGGACACAGCTGACGTCAGCCACTATGAACTGCGTCCTAAAAACGGGCCATTTGTATGATCAATAGACGCTCTGCTATCTGCTACAAACTATTTCCAGAAAACATCTCCGGGCTGCAGTTGACGACACTATCTTATCTCGCAAGAAGTTTTGTTTCATTTCTCTTTGTCAGAGAGTAAGGACATTTAAAAATAACCACAGGCTGTGGAAAGAGCAAGGATGATTTACGCATTACGAACAGAAAAGACTAGCAAAGAGATTCTGCTAGCACAGAATGGTTTGGTGGGTACAGAGCACCTTGCAAAGCATGCTTAAGCTCCAACACGTCTGCTCAAGGTGCCTACTTGCAAACTGGCAGGTTTTCCTTATTAACACCTCTCTAAAAGACCTGGACATCGAACTCCATTTTACTGTGAAGGGACCAAGACGTAACAAGGGACTTGTCCTCCAAGCACCGCAAGTTCTTTTTCTTTCCAGATATACGCAAGAGAGGGAGAGATCCGTGTTTTAATCCTCCACATTTTAACGAGTACTTATGATTACACACAAGTTCTGCCACTGCAATCAGCAGAAACCTATGCAGGTGCTTAAAGTTAAACATAAGCTGAAGAAACTTGGCCAAGGAATTTCACAAAAACCATTCTTTGGGTGAAACCGCAGCACAACTGTGCAGTGATGCAGGGATGCGGTGAGCATCCGTGCAAAGAAACGGAGATGTTGCTGCTCTTAAGAAAAAAAACAAACCCACCCCACATTTTCACCTAAGGCACACCTAGAAAGTACAAGACTCTAAATAAACGCCAGTTGGCTTATAACAGGAAACCGCTTCCCATTCATAAAATGTAATGTGAATGTTACTAATTTTACTCTGATAATATTTGCATTATGAAAAGAAACCAAAAATAACTCACTCTGCATGGCATTTTGCTGACGGTTCTTCCACAGGCACATGGCAATGAAAACGATGAGAATAAGGACCATCACCCCAAGGACGCAGCCCACGATCAAGTACAGCATGTCGCTGCTCCGAACGGGGCCGTTCGCAGGCCCAGCTCCACTTCCCCCAACGCGGTCGGGGGGATTTGGTGGCGTACTCAGGTCTCTCACTGGATATTCAGATGCTCCTGGCGTGCGTTTCACTGGATGAAGTAAGAGACAAGTACGGGTACATTCGCTAAATGGGTTTTCTAAGTGTTTCTTGGTTGGGTTTTTTTTTCCATTGTGAAATGAAAATAACGACTGCTGAGTTAGAGTCCTAATACCTCAAAAAGAAAGCTTCCAAGTCAATATTAAAACCTATAACGAGAAGGCCAGCTACTATTAGGTAATAACTATTTGCCTTGGAAAATGGTTATTATCCAGCTTGGTAACCCTCTCATTGAGGTCACTCGAAACTTTAACGAGCAACTCGACATACGCACGGCTAGAACTGCACTAACTCCCAACTTGAAAGAGTGCAAATCTTTCCACTTCTGAGGTCAGGAAAAACCACAACATGCATTTCTATCGCCTAACCACTGCCAGATGACCTACTTTTATCTGATGTGAACCCTGCTAACCCCGTTTTTTAAAACCGTACTGTTGAAGACACTAAGAGCTGAACAAAAAAAAAAAAAAAAAAAAAAATCACTGAAAATGAGATGCTAGTTTGCTAGTTTAACCCAGGAATTAAGTTTACATTAATTTTCAGTGCACCACAGCTCCAATTCATTTTGTTTGCCACTAGAAACCTAAACGAGGTGCCTGGCGTAGGAGTGAAGCTGATCAGAGAGACACAAGCACCTCCATGTTAGATAAGCTGGATCATGCCTCGTAAGCCTGGAGGAGATGCGTTTTAAGGAAAAGTCAGTATGAACAACAGACTACATCTTGCCGATTTTAAAATTAGGGAAGAAAGTTGTATTCCTTGGAGGAGGAAGCCCAACCGTGCGCATAGCCTGAAACCCTGCAGCTCCTAGCCCTTCTTTCAAAGGCTTCGCTACTAACTTAACTAAATTTTGATGCTTCCGCTCCTAGAGGGCTTTTTTCTTTTTTTAAAAAACATTTTTTCATAGCACCGCATTTGAAGTTTACTGTCTGCATTTTCCCTTTACAGCCTTACTTGGTTTTAGAGATTAAAGGAGACAGGAATTCTTTGCAAAATAAATGTGACTGCCATATCTGACACTTCCAGAGAACAGTACAAACTTTGTGCCAGAGGCATGCAGGATTAGTGATGGAGGCAGCCAACATAACCATCAATTGCTGTGGTCTGCACTTATACAACGTGTCACAGAGCCCCAAAGACATAAAACAGACGTACAAATCAATTCTGTCATCTTCAAGAGCATGGCTGTCTCCTAAGGAGAGGCTATCGGCACAGTAAAAAAAAAAAAAAAAAAAAAAAAAAGGAAAAACCAACCCAGAACAACAATACTATCTCTCTCTTAGGCCAGGGAAATCTGCAGAGCTTTGCTAAGAGCCTTTCTTGGGAGTGCAACATATCAGTTGCCATATGTTCAAAACAATCCCAGCTTCGGAAGACAAAACAATCCTCCAAAACATTCCAGAAAATTACTGTCTTCATTGCAGCTGACTTTTGCACTGCAAAAAAAAAAAAAAGAATTCCAACACGGCGGATATTTCATGCTACAAAACGCCACCTTCACATGGTCCTGCAGGTGAGTGGATGTGCTGATCTTTCTGCGCTCACCTTTGGTTTCGCAGATCATCACGTTGCTGTACTCACTTTCACCACCTTCATTGTAGCATTGCATTTTAATGTCATAAGATGTTTCTGGCTGCAGGTGATTTATCAAGTGCCATTGCTTCGTACCTGTGCGGAGAGGGAAAAAAAAAATAAATAAATCAACTGCATTTCATTTACTCGCGTGAGCCAGAATTAGGTACGAGTATATCGCAGTGTCTTTCTCTATAAAATGCAGGGGTATTGCAGCTTTCCCTCTTAGCACAAAAGTCTTTATTAACAATTTATGGACTTATCATAGGACTTGCATTGTCTTGTGAAACAGATTCTCAGAAGAACCTTTTGATGAATAAAAGCGGGGTTTTTTTCAGTATTTTCAATTGATTTTTTTTTTTAAAAAAAAAAATCTTTCTCTACAAAAATTAGAAGTCGCTAAACTCAAAACCCAGACATCCAGGTTTCCAGCATCTGTACATTTAAAATCAACAGCATTTCTGTGTATCTTAAGTATGATACTGCTCTCTTCCAACCCGAAATGTTCCACAGCATTTTACAAACGATTTTTAATAGGAAAAGCTTTCCTTCACTAGTGGCATACAGTGAAGCTATTTACAATAGATGGGGCAAATAACAAGGGAAAACTGGCACAGAAAACAGATTAAACTTGGAAAAGGGCAAAAACTTCACTGTGCTAAAACCCTCTCCCAGTCTGCAATCCCGCAGGATCCCTGGAGATATGAGGTACCGACTGAAGCCGCCCATTTGTTGCAGGAAAGATACATCTGGGTTGCTCAACTTAGCCGAAACCGCAAATAATTGAACGTGCATTTTATTAAACATACTAGGAAACAAAATTAGACAGCAAGGCTGTGTCTCTCGCGCTGCCTGCCCCTGCAGAGACGGATCCCAAGCCAAGCAATCTTCTTTAATAGGACGGTTTTGTCATCTCTGGCTCCCGGCCAGCATTTCATTTAGACACCCTCCTGAAGTACCGAGCACTTCAATATAAATCACTCTCAGTTTTTACTTTCACAGGCTTGTGACAAATTTTAATAAACAGCAACTTTTTCCGCCTCCCCCCTCTTTTTTTTTTTTTTTTTTAGGGAGTTTAATTAACTGTTTGAGCGCTCTTAATCCCTCTTGGAAAATACCACCTTGAACTGTTTCCACTGTTTCTAAGAAACTGTCATACCACCTACTGATTTAAGCATTAATAAAAAAAATAAAGCCTCCTTGGCTGGCGGGGGCTGTCACCACGACTCTGTTCAAATTTCTCCGGGATCCAAGCCCAGGTGCAGATCCCCCTGTCCGGCCAAAAAAGGGCAGGGGGTACCCAGGAGGACCCCATCTTGGTTTGGGGGTTTCGGGAGGGGATGAACCGCATGGTCCAAGCTCCATCCCTTGCATGCCAGGCATCCCAAGTGAGGATAGGCAAGGCCTGGTTAAAGCTGGAACCGGCCTTTCCCTAAATCATCGCACGTTTTCCCAAGATTCATACTTGGTTTTCCCGTCGCCCCCACCCCCAAGCATTCCTTTCGGTAATTACTACACCAGGTTTTAGGTTTCCGCTTCAAACCATTAGTGGAACTGGAATCAGTACAGGCACTTTAACTGTCCTCTTCGTGCACCATTAGCAAGGAAAAACATTTAAACAACTGACATCAGACTGCATTTACATTTAAAATTCAATCTCCAGGACCCTTGAAAAAGAGAAATTCAGACCATCAACGTAGGACAGGGCTGATTTTGCTTTGCTTTTCCTTAAAGCTGCTGAAAAATACCAAGGAGCCATCCGAGTCAAGCTTTTTGCTTGGGTTTTGGTTTGGGTTTTTTTTGTTTTGGGGGTTTTTTTTCGTGTTTGTTTTTTTTTTTTCTGTTCTTTAAATAAAACTTGATTTTGCCTGTGGCGGCATTTATAAGGGGGGGATAAAAAAAAGTTTTGAATGTCTCTAAAGACAAGACTTAACAGGAAATGGTAAGGAAAGCCTACGGCAAGTACTCAGCTAATACAGGCATCACAACACTTTTTCCACAACTCATGCAGTCATTTCAAGATAAAATTCCCTGTCAAAAAACAGACAGATTAATTCAAAGGTAGCAGAGGGGGAAAAGCGAAGAACAAGTGATTTATGGCAAAAATACCTTAAGTCACATGTTTCTCTACATATTTCACATCAAATGCTTCCAATCACACTTTAATTGAAAATAGTGCTTTTTTTTTTTTCATTCCCTCCCCTGAAAAGCTAATTTAGGGGAGCACAGTAAAGAAAAGTTTAAGTTTAAATATTTCCACCGAATGAGTTTCTGTTGCAGGCTTTGGCAGAGCAGAGCAGCTGCTAATGGTTTCAGACTGCCACAAAGAGTTCAATATACACACGCGCTCTCCGGGAAAAAAAAAAATAGAAAAAAAAATCAGAAACAAGCTCATTTCACAGCACAGTGGAGCCCACTTAAACAACTAACTGCTTAGTGTCTAAGATTTATAAACACACAAGCTCTGTCTAGCAAAGGCTAAAATACATTTGCAGATGAAGGTGCAGACCGCATAAGCTTCTTTAAAGCAATCCTCCAAGTCGAGAGTCTGGATCTTTAATAGCTTTATAGTGTGCAAAAGCTTATGTCACGCATCAAAGTACCATGTGGAGTATTGTCTAGCAGGGGAAAATTTTCAAAATGAAGGCCCATTCCTCTTGTAACTGAAATAAATGAGGGGGGAAAAATAATTAACGTCATTGGGACAGAATGAGATCACTACGTTTACTCAGCCCAAGCAATAAGGACGTTAAGTAAAATATTTTTAAAAGGGTTTTCCACTTCTGGACTAATATAGACATTATCTAATAAATTCTTCCAGGAAAATGATGATCTAATATGCACGGGGGGGAAAAAAAATAAGCTGATTAAAAGGCAAAACGAAGCCCAAACATACCTGCATTTGCAGCGTTCTACAGCACTTGAGGCTAAAAGTAACTTCCTTATGGCAATAGGATAAGCAATTAAGCAAGGTAAGAGGAGAAAAGAGTAATTACACACAAGGTATTACCTAGCTTAGAAAATCCGTGCTGTGGTATATCATCTAAAAAAGCCAGCTAGTTATTAATACAGCCTGTACCACAGATGAGCTTACCCTGGGTTAAATCTCATTTACATTGCTTTCTCTTTACTCAACCACTTTAAGCTAAACCAGTTTAAAGTAGAGCTACATTAAGGATTGGCAGCAGTGTAACAAGCCAAACTTTAACCCAGTATTTAGTTCTCAAGTTTCTATGTAGAAGAGGTTTCAGAAGGAAGAAACAAGTTCATGTGTGGGCAAAACTTGACGTTATGTAGTCGATAGAGCTACTTCTGTGAAATATATTGTAAAGACTTAGTTTGGGAAAAGCAGTTTAGATTTCATATAAACACAGCCAACGTGGCTACATGACGTTCTTCCCTATCTAGTAGTGTTATTAAGCATGTGTATACTGCACCGGACCTTCCACGACATCCCTCTTGTAGTCACTATCATTGTCGCTGTCCGTAGGCCGATAATAGATATAAAATCCTTGGATGGGCGTGTTGTTGTTGCTTGATGTAATGTACTAAAAGAGAATTTTAACAGACTGCATTAGAGAAGAAAAATTTTAATCGAGTCCTGCTGAGTTGTCAACACTGAGTATCTTATCACCTTGAAATAGGTTCGGTTTTGTTGTGTTTGTTTGTGGGTTTTTTTTAATAAGATTGTGCAAGGTGTAGGGGGAGGTTTGCACAGAAGCTACAACAGAAAAGTGGATTATCGATTGCTGTGGATGTGCAGACATGGGTAAGATGAACACAATGCCAGGGGTTCTCAGAGGGCTGCAGGAGAACTCTCTGCCACTGAAATCCTCAGCCCAGGTAAAAAAAGGAGGGCAAGAGACTGAGCTGGGGCTGACACTATCCTCCCACACCACTTTCCAAACTGTCAATTAGGGTTTGATCACGAACGGCCTGAAAATTTGTGTGATTAACGGGAATGGAAAAGTTAAGACCATTTTTACTTCAGAAAGAGTTAAGGTCACTCTAAAATTCAGCTCAAGGATATTTTACTTTAAGTTATGCAGCCTCCTGAGGAACTAGAGGTTATTTTAAGTTTATTATCCTTGACGTCTCTTAAGGCTGAGCTAGCAGAGCAAACTAACACTGGGAACTCTACACGTTAAACCCTCCAAAGTATACCGGGGGTTAGATTTCAAAACAAGAGCAAAGAATTTCTGTGGGTGTCAATAAGGACTTTAAAGTACTTGTTTACAAAAGACGAGGTAACAGGGGAAAAGAAAACGTTTCTCTAACACCAAACTTCTACTGGACGCGAGGGAAGATGGTGGGTTTTAAACGCAGCGCCTGCTTCCAGCCATCCCAGCCTGGATTGACAAAAGAAAAAACAGGAAACGAAGCCAAGTTGCTCACAACTCATGGCATGAGCAGGGGCTTGGACAGAGCTAAGCCCCGCTGGTGCCTCTTGCTACATCTGTGCCAAAGCAGGTGGACTAAGGCGGCTGCAGCCTTTCACCGGAGCTGCCAGTTGGGCTTCACATCTGGCGTAACCCGAGGAGGTGGTGCGCGGCATCCCCGGGGAGCTGGGAGGGGAGAGCGACGCGGAGGGAAGCTGGGCTACAGCACAAAAGGCTGCAAATAACCCAGAGGGCTGCTGAGGAGGAGGGGAAAAAGGGTTTGGAAATGGGGGAAAAAGGGCTCGACAGGCATACGGCCCATTAAGTTACCCAATGCTACCATACAAGCATGAAGTATCTTAGCCTTCTTCTAGGAAGATCACCTCTGAGTCTCAGGGGGGAAAAACCACCACTCGCTACTCTGCAATCAGCTCTTAATCCTTGACTTTTAAGAGCCACAGCAGTAAAAACTGGTCCGTAACTGTGAAAAGAAGAGGAGACAATGATACCTACCGTCCATTTTAACATGATCTGAGTGTCACTGATGGCTTCGGTATAAGCAATGTGAGGTCCTGTGATAGGGCGGTTGGAAAAACGGCTGGTAAATCCGGCTACTTGGTAAGGGCGAGATGCTGCACTGCGTGGGCTCTCCCCATAATTGTTCACAGCGATCACACGGAACCTATACATTTCTCCTTTTAAGGGAAAAAAGTGAAGGAAAGAAGACGTTGTAGCAAAACAAGCACTAGAAATGGGATTCAAGGAGAGACTAAACAGATTAGGAAGTACTTTCTGCACAGCATCCAATTAGAAAAAACAGAGGACTCATTGCCACTGACTAATGTGGACATCAGAAATATAAACAGCTTCTAAAAGCGATTAGGGAAATGCCCTCAAGAAAAATCCAAAGGCTATGACACCTCCACCAGCTCAGGAAGTCCCTAAACTGCAAAATGGTGGGCACCAAGAAGATACTTCAAAGGATACCCTTCATCATCCACTCTCCCCACTCTCTCCCCGAGCTTTTGGGGCTGAACATTGGGAGAAATCAGGACAGGCCTTTTTCCCTTAATGCATTTTTCTCCTTTTGCATTCCAAGTGCTTACTAGAAGGACAATTAAGTTAAAAATAGAAATAATACACAACCCTCCTCTTCACATGAAGAAGTACTAAATTATGGTGGGTTTTTTTTTTTTCCACTTGGAAAATCAGAAATCAACTTGAATTCATGCAATGAGCTCCTATTCCACACAAAAAAAACCCAACACCAACCAACCAGAAACAGGATAATCCAAGCAGAAGTTAAAATGAAACAACCAAAGAGCTGCAGTATTCTCTCAGCAGGAGCGCAGTCACCTAAGCAAAGACGACAACAACAACAACAGCTGAGGTGAAGGAAAGATCATTTTTAATACCCGGCTCCAAGTTTCGAACTTCCACAGACAGCTTGGAAGGAGAAATGTTATCAGCTGCAATTAGCCAGTCACTGTTTCGACCCAGGCGTTTATACTCCACTTTAAAGGCAGTAATGGGGGAGCCACCGTTTGCTCGTGGTATCCACGTGACGTAGACAGATGATTCTGATGCTGTGGAGATCGTGGGTCGGTCGGGAGCTTCTGGAACTGAAAGGAGAAATTCAGTTACCAGAGGATTAGCGTCAGCTGAAACTTCATGTTCTGCAGCAAGCGATTAAACTAGTTGCTGATGATTAAATTAGACTTCATATATTAACAAGGAGAATTTGAACTCCTCCCGTAATAGCTACTACTCTTACTCTTCTGCAAAAGATGCTTGAATAGCAGAAAACAGAGGAATCAATCACTTTATCACTATAATAATCAAAAAGATACAGTGTTGCACTACCCCAACCCACCTCCTCACGGAAACAGAAACATATACTAAGTGAAGAGGAAAAATTTGGTTATCATTTTCAAAACCCCCAAATTTCCCTAGACCCAATGAGACTTCAACCCATCCACACTAACGAGCCCTGTATTGCTGGAGAAATGAGAATGAAGAACAAACAAAGCATGCAACAATGATTTACTTACTGAACTCACTTGAAGTTACAGACAGCAGTGGAACAGAGAGAATGGAAAGAGCTGGTGTTAGTCAATCTGGTTATAACCATTCTCACAACCAACAAGAGCTGTAAGGCTTTACTAAACTAGTTTGTGTCCATTCATACAGAGCTGGTCACCGATGAGAGGAGGAACCGAGCAAGGAACAGCAAGCTGGCAGTTTTGGGGGCATGAAGCAGGCTGAGTATTTGCAGCTGGGCACGCATAAGGGGTCCCCTCGTGTGCCTCCTCTGATATTTAGCACTGTCACAAGCACGCAATGCTCAGCTCCTCACCTGTATTATTAAACCTCTCCGCTCACCTTTGGTTTTACCCAAAATTTTAGATACCAAGTCACCTTTGAGATCTCAGCCCTTGAGTAAATTTGCCTGAAGTCAATGAGTTCAAAGGCTGGAGGTGATGAGAAAAAAAGAGACTATAAACATGCTGTTTTCACTGGAAACTATGCTAAAAATCACACCTACTGGGAAGTGGTTTTATCTTCTTGCCATCAGAAATAAGCCCATCCCTGGGAAGCCACAGGAAAACATTCAGAACAGATATAATCTACTTTGAGAACTTAAAAGTCTGACACAGCCCATTTCCCATTTTCCTTCTTCCTCTGGATCTTTTACAGCGGAAGAGAAAACCAGAGTATTTAGCAAAAACCAACCGCAGGCTTAAAAATGAGCAGCAAGAATACAGGTTATCCGTGAAAATCCTATTTTTTGGGCACCACACATGCAGGTAACAGCATCCTTGGAAATATTACATGTTCACTAGATTAGGGCACGCATTTGCTAAATTCATACTTTTAAATGCCCTGCCACAGATGCCAAAGTCTGTAAGAAACGCACTACTACTTGGAGAAGTAACGTTGCTGCGGAAACCTGAGGTATCAAGGCAGGCACGTAAAATGCTAACTTACTGACTGGAATAAGGTAACCTTTCAGTTAGTCCCAAAGTATGAAATATCATCTTTTACTCTGGAAACACATGGAAGAACAGAAAATCTAGCAGATATCTGACCTCACTCACAGAAGTCCTACAAGAGAGGAAAAATACCTGTAACAAAGAAGCCTAGGGAATAAAGAGGAAATAGAAGAGGTAACACGAGCACCTAGAGCAGCAATAAACACAAATTAACTTAGATGCATCTGTTTGCAACACAACTTTTAGTACGTGGATTACAAACCATACATACACCTACCTCCGCTGTGTCGAGACACGTCTGGAAGGATGACACCGAAATTATTTGTGCCTTCGTGAACAACAGGATGTTTAGGAACGCCTACTGGTGGAGATGGAGCCTGAGTGTTTTTCGAGGATGATGTTCTTTCTGAGAAAGATTTTGATATACAGTATATCAGCTCACAACATGCTCACCCCACAAGATCACTTGCTACAGGGGACTAAAGCCCTGGCTCCAAATCCCAAACTATGATCCCAACTCCCAAATCCAAATCCCAAATCCGGCGAGAAATTGGGGAGCTGCTTGTTTCTTCAGGGGAGTGAGAGGGGAGACTTCCCCCATCAGCCCAGGGACTCTGGCGCTATGGATAAGTGACCATTCACCTGCAGTACTGCACCTTGCGGTGACGCCGCTGGCTCCTGCCTGGGTTTCAAAGCCCTCTCTCATCACGAAATCACAACAGGTGGTGAAATATCGCACACTGAAATCTATGTCTAGAGAAAGAGGTTCAATAAAAATGCCACAGCTGGACCCAGGACACTGGGCTGAGTGGACTTTTGGCCCGGGGCAGTATGTACTGATCACGAGTTCACAGATTTCACGAACATTACATTCTTAATAAAATTTTAAGCTATCCTGTTCTTGTACATTAGTATGAAGAATATCGGATTGTTTGCGTGCTTAAGAGTACAGCCACCAGCATCCAAGCTCGAAAGAAAAAAAAATTGCTTCGATTAGAAATGCTCTTTTGCTTGGTGTTGTCTGCACGCAGCTATCAAAACAGCTGGCTTCTGGTCAGCTGAGAGATTTTTCACTGAGGTTTCTGCAAAGCAAACCAGAAGCAGTTTTACTGAAATATGAAGATTGATAAAATAATAATATATGAAAATCGATTAAAAAAATATTGATATATGCTGGTGCAGAGAGTTTTTTTTGTGATACTCTGAAAAACCTGAACAAGGATAGGCTGCTCCCTGACTTAGCTCCTTTAAGCAAGAGGAACCTTACAGTATAAGTCTTAATAATCATCTCCCAAATAATATTATCAAGCTTTTAATAGCTTCTACTTACCAACAGCCCTGGTAAATTGGCCCTACAGCTATTTTAGCTGCTAGAGGCTGTTCTTTAGCAACTAAATTGCAGAAGATTTCATATATGGCTTAGTAGACAACATACAGTTGATGTAATTTAAAAAAATGTCCTCTCGAAAGCCTAGGACACAGGGAACATTGTGCTGCACCTACCTTTGCTGGTGCGAAATGTCAGCATAGCAGGCTGGCCTTCACCAGCAGCGCTCCTCGCCACCATTAAAACTTCATACAGGCTGGAAGGCTCCAGCTCGGTGAGCCGCAGCTCATTCTCACTGCCAGGGACCCGCACCGTGTGCCAGCTTCCCACTGCGCTGACGCTGTCGTCCAGCTGCACAGGACAGGGAGAGGAAGCTCAATATCAGCAGCGAATTGCATGTTATTGCAGTGAATTGCATGTATTAGCAGTAAATGCATATTAGCCAAGGTAATCCTCAAATCCCTCATCGCTTTCACACAAAGGACCTCTGCCACTTGCCAAAACTCCTTATGTTTTCCTGTATCTACCTACGGTTTGTCTCCAAGCGCATCTACCACAAATTAGCGCTGTTGCAACTACCTTCATAGCGCTCCCTCGACAAACTCGACTTATTTTCCCCTCTCTGTACACACATGTGCACTTGTTGGAAAAAAAACCAAAAAGGTCATTTTCACTTGTGGCTAAAACTAGCAAGAGACCAAACGATTTTAAAGACTTCAATCAGCAGCGTGCGTAAAGGGTTGGACCCAACACCCTAATGAGAAAGATATGTTCCCTGAACTATCCCAGCTTTTCCTGTACTTAAGTATTTTAAAATATTTATTGGCTAAAATGGGCAACAAAAAATGTCTTGGTTACTTCTCGAGGCTGGAAAAAAAAAAGGCAGCAGGGAGACCAACGGTTTCTTTTTTATTAATGCATATTTCCTTTTTTTTTTTTTTTAAAAAAAAAAACCCACTTTTTAATTTAAACGTGAAATCACAACCTACATTTAAAAAGGGAAAAAAAGATTCAGGGTAGTCTCTTAATGCTTGACCTTTGCAGGAAAACACTACCCCATATCCCAAAGGAAAAGACAAAGATTCTACCAAAAATAAACTACTAAACAATATAAGACTTTAATAAAACATGGAAGGCAGATCTAAATGCTGTGGATTATCAAAGGTTCTGCCAGCAGTCTTTGTTCAAGTATTTTCTTCTGAAGCGATCACTCTAAGGCTTTTATTCCTCCAACGTTTTGTTTTTTTCCTCTTTAAAAGAAGCAAATCAATAAAATAATTTAATGACACAAAGAGAACACTACACTAAAAAGCCCACGGTAAACTCCCTACCGAGAAACACGTGAGTGAGCACATTTAATGCGGAAAGGATTGTTATGAGTGAAGGGTAAGCGTCAAAGAAGTACTCAAAGCTTTCAGTGCTTACGCAAAACAACCACCTTTGGATGAGAAATTGTATCAACAGACTTTGGCACTAGGTTTTCAGGAACTAACAGGTCAAAAATCTAAGCACTCCCTCCAGGCTAAGACAAGATCAGGATGTGGAGGATTAAAAAGCTTATGAAAAATAAACCAAACAGCTTTGCCATGCAGAAAACTCTTTGCTTGGAAGAAAGGGCACAGGCATCGCTTGGTTCCGATTTTAATCAAGAGAGCTCGCTGTTGACACACCATTTTAAAGGACGCGATAGGAAATTTTAGTTCACCTTTGTATTTGACAACTTCAGTTTAATAGTGTCTTTTTGGGATGCAGAGTAGCACACTCTGATATATTAGGCTAATACTCAGCTTCCCTTTTGATCTCAAGCATCCCCACCAGATTCAAGCCTGCTCACACAAACAGATGTCTTTTTAACGTTACTGAAATTTTGTACAATACACCCTGGAGCCCCATTCTCCATGATGATACTGTAAAGGAAATAAAGACCCCAAGCTCTGCTGAATAAATCTCACTTAAAACTAGATAGAACAGCGTACTTGGTGACCAACTTCAGTCATCCCTTAAAATGAGCTGCCTGTGTGGCCACGGTAACACTGTGGTTCAACTATATTCTATATTCTCTCTGGCCTGACACCACATTCTTGTTAACACCAGCACCGCAACAATTATTGGTTCCTTGAGAAACCTAAAACAATGAAATCCATCTGCCGCGGTGCAGCGCTTTAACGCTACGGAGAAACCGTTACCTTGCGGTATTTGACAAAATAGGCGTTGATGGGCAAGCCCCCATCCCGCCCCGAACGCCACACCAGGTTGTACATGTCCGGCTTCAGCGTCTGTGGGGGGCTGAGGATGATGGGGGCTTCGGGGGGAGCGGCGACATTCGAGGCTTTTTCCGTTGCAGTTGCACCCAAATGCAATTTTGTCGGAGGCGAGCTTGAAAACACCTGTTCTGCACCAAAATCACCATCGTTTTTATCGCTCTGGGCAACCTGAGTCATTTCTTCTGCTTTCTTGCCGGTTTCTAAAGGAACTGTAAAGGGAGAAGTCTGGTTACATCTTCAAGATAACGCACATTTACCCTGCACAGAGGGGACGCTAAATCTTTTTAAAACGTCCTTTCCAAACAAGCCCTGCTGCAAAAAGCCAGTTCAAGAGATGTTTGCGCAGACCTGAGCCCAGTGCCATGCTGTGCCCTTGCATGCCAGCTGTTTTTTCAGGGCAGAACAGTGGATTTCGGTTTGTTTTTTTCGGCGGTGGGTTGGTTTTTTTTTGGTTTTTTGTTTTTTTCACAGTAGCAAAGAGAGAACCTGAACCACAATGTCTGCAGCCAGTTTCACTAGTACCTCCGATAATTTAAGTAGTAGTAACACACATTAAAAGAAAAAAAAATATATATATATAGTTACACTTATGACACAAATGGAGTAATTTTAAATTAATCACAGTTGTA